TCATGACGGACCTTCTTGGTTGAATCATCCTGGAGTCGCATGAGCTGCGCGACTCGGCCGATAGAGAGCTTTAGTTTCGGGCTGACGAGGTCAATTGAAACTGGCGTCATCCAGCTCCATCATGCCATACACCCCAGAACAGCCGTCCGAGGACGAGAGCGTGGCACTCGAGGACACTCTCGGCGATGGCTGGGTGCAAATGTACCACCACGGCTGCTCGTTCCCGCCCGAGACCTTCATCACCAAGATGACCGTCTTGATCGAGAATCCCAACCTCAACTCGTCGTGGCTGTTCCGGGCAGACATCATCCGTGACGAGCGACAGCCCGGCATCCCCGAGCAGCCTCAGGTAGACCAACCACCAGACAGCCCATGGTCCCGTGTAAGACACTTCCCCAAGTACCAGCTGCAGAGAAGGCTGGTCCGGACCCTGGTTCCTCGCAACACCAAACGAGACCTGCCCCTTGACCAGACCTGCACACAGCACCAGACCCTGCAGCAGCAACCAGAGGACCCCGTCAGTACTTTGATAATTTATCTGCCCCATGTTGAGTCTGCCCAAGAGACTCCGTTCTACCACCCCAAGGTCAAGGGAGTTGCCCATCTGCACGAATGGGACCCCACCACTGGTACAGGGTCTATTTCCGTCCTCTTTCTCCCATTTCTCGGCCACCCACTGAGTGACAACAAGCTCCAGCGTACAGCCTTCCATCTTCTGCAGATTATCCACAAGCATGGCGAGAGCGCAGATTATGTAAAAAGAGTTCATCATGACATGGTTGTGCCTCGTGCTACCTTCCAAGACCGCTATGCTGGGCTCAAAGGCAAATACGCCAGACGCTTGATTGAGTCCTGGTCCGAGCAGACTGACCCGACCAAACACATCTTTGAAGATCTGGGCATCGCTGCATTTCTCATTGAGTTGTGGTCTTGCATGTATACTGCAGACAGCCCTTTCCCCGGCTTTGTTGACATTGGCTGCGGCAACGGCCTCCTTGTTCACATTCTTAATCTTGAGGGGTACCATGGTTGGGGCTTTGACGCCAGGTCTCGCAGGTCTTGGGAGCAGTACAAAAGCCAGAATGACTTGACAGCTTCCGGCACTTCTCTTGAGGAGCGCCTTCTCTTGCCTCACTTGGTAGCAGGTGATGCTGCCGAGTTACATGACAAACTTCCCGGATCAGTTGGCATTCACGATGGCAGATTCCCGCCGGGGACATTCATCGTCTCCAATCATGCCGACGAGCTGACGCCCTGGACTCCCCTCCTTGCCGTAGCGTCGAATTGCCCTTTCATCTCCATCCCGTGCTGCAGCCATAACCTCGGAGGTGACAAGTACCGCCCGCCGCCTCCCAAGGACAAAACCAAAGGTGCCTCGACATACGCTTCTCTCGTAGAGTGGGTGACAGAGATCGCCGAGGATTGTGGATGGGTGGTCGAGACTGAGTTTCTGAGGATACCCAGCACACGTAACACTGCCTTGCTGGGCCGGAGTCGGATGACAGAGGCAGAGTCTATAGACGCCCGGGCAATCATTGACAAGCATGGCGGTGGCCACAGGTATTTAGAGAACTTTATGCAGTTGCTGAAGAATAATGCAAGAGGCCATTAGACTGTGACCGACTGTATCTTGGTACCCCCGCTGGAGTTTCGTTTGGTATTTCCAGGTGATTTGATGTTCTTTTTATTGAAAGTCTTCACAGCATTGAGCGTTTCAGATTGTTGAGAGTGCGGTAGGGCGAGGTGTGCTTGCTACTCCTGTGATGTTCCGGAGACTTGGCGAGTAATTGAAGGGAAGACTACTTTTTGGATGAACGACTCTGTGTCTTGAATCGCGCGAGCGTGTTCATGAAGTAATCGACGAGTGAGGATGACTGAAGTCAGAGGCTATAATGCTGGCTTAGGTTCACCTGATCGAGACTCATGGGGCGAGGAGAACGGGGGTAGACTTTTGAGCCTGGAAACTGCCAGCGCCCATCAGTTAGATAGATTCCGGTGAGTCTAAGGTAAACAATAGGGAATTTACGTAGTATTTGGGAATTGCAGCTTATGCCTAAACGACGAGTTGCTTTCGGTGGAAAATGGGAGATGAATGATGAAGGCATCGGCTAGGGAGCTCGACTGGTATCTGCGGATGGTGCTGTCTGCTTTCTTCCGCTCGATCGAGTATTTCTGGCGCAAACAGAACAAGAACAGGAACTGGAACGTGAAGAGGTGATGGAGTTAGGGAAGAGGGAGGATTCGCGTTTGATGAAGGATTCGATGTAGAGAAAGTCGGCTGGACTCTGCAGGGGTTGGTTAGCTTCAACTGGATGGAAAATCTTGAGTCAAAGGTATGTAGGGATGACTATTGTATCCGAAAATGAATGGAAGTAACACACGAGATAGGCACGCTGTTGATGGAAACTATCGTTGAAGGTCCTTTGATGGCTGAAGACAAATCGTCGAGAGTAGCCGGCTCAGTTGCCTTGACGTGATTATAGAGAGAGGCGTGCGTTGAAGCTTCGATACTTTGGGAATGGAAAATGGAGAGGCAACAGAAGCAGGGAGGGGTGGAAGCTTCAATGTTGCATCATCGAGGGAGATGCAAGAAGTTGATGCTAAGGGAAGGCACGAGGGAGGGAGGTAACTTCTTGCGCTTGGGGTCTTCACAACACATCAAGCAGACACTTCTTGGATGAAGTTACGTGAGCGGGACAAGACAAAGGCAAAGAGTAAATCTTGCAGATAATTTATCTCTTCTACGGACTGTTATTCTATTAAAACGTCTTTGTTCAACGCCAGTTTGCAGACAACCTTTGTTCTTCCTGTTCCCCATTCTAGATGTAGGGAACGAGAGAAGAAAACAGCGATCTCCTCTGGGGCCACTCCTCACTCTCTCAGGGGGGAATGCCCCTACGAATACCAGATCTCCCTCGAGCAAAGATTCCTGGATAGAGAAGCCTCCGAGCAGGAGCCAGGGAGGAGTGGCACCCCTCGGAGTAACTTGCCTTCCGGTGCGAGCAGGTGCTGTCACAGGTACTCAGGGGCATAGCCCTCGAGGGAACACGCGTAGGCTACCTTGAAGCCTTGGGAAACACCCACACGTAAACAAATTTCCCGACTTTCCCCCACATGTTCATTCTTTTTTCTTCTTTCTGTTCATTTTCATACACAAACTTCACTATTGTCAACTCACTCGAACATCACACTTCCTCTTCTGCTCCCTTCATCTACCCGTTTTCTTTATCCAGTCACTCATCCCTCGACACTCGATTCACTCTTACTTTCCTCAGGGCTCCTTCCCTGCCCATCCATGTGGTCATCGAGATCACCCTGATGGCTCTTTCCTTCTTCAAAGTCACAAAGACAAACTAGGCTTCTTCTGGAGCAGCAGTGAATCGAGTGTCGCCGGGCACATGCGTGTCCTCGGCCCACTCCTTCCCCAACACTCAGTCACGCTGTTGCCTCATTCGGCATTGACCTCTCTTTCGTCCCTTCCTTGTCGCTGGGGCTGGTCACAGCTTGGCCGTGAGAACGGAATCATGGGAGGTACCGCACGTACCCAGGCACCAATATCAACGCATCCGTATGGGTATGCACAGAATTGTTGGCTACGGACCACACTCGTTCATGTAAACAGGTGCTGGGAATGGCGTCAGGCTCATTGGAAACATAATGCAAGGGTTCATCTCACATGGGATGGTGGCTGGAGTTGCAGTGGCATCAAGTGCTCATTGACCACTTGTCGGAGTGAGATTATAGACTTGAGAGACGCTGGCTTGCTGAGTCGATGGCTCAGGGTATTAGGGCCCCTTACTGCGCGGCACTGATGAGAGAGATGGGCGTGTACCGTTATTCACACAACTGGCTGGTAGTTGTATCTACTTGGTACCTATGAGCAACTACTAACTATTGAGCTGCAATGAACGGACGGGGCAGGTCACCACACCCAGCAAGACAACCAACATCGACGTGACCAGCAACCTGGCGACCGACAAGACAAGACACACGGACAGACAGACAATACACAGCACCCCGATTCACAAAGCGTCGACCTAGCCCAGCACCGAGTTCGTGCCTGAGGACCCGACCAGCAACCTGCCCTCCTGCACGGCTGATGACGTCCGCCAGCCAGAGCTAGCACGCGCACTTTTCTGGCCGTCCTCGCCTACTCGCGCCCTGCTGCTATCTTATCCTGCCCTCAGCTTCCCTCCTCCTCCTTCGTTTCACCTTCACCACCAATTCCTCACACTCATCTTGGGCTTCCAAAGCCTTGCTGAGCATTGCAAACTTGCCAATTTCACACATCCATAACGACAGGACTCCTCTAGTTCATTGCCTCTCTCTTATCAGGGGCTTCTTCACTTCATCTTCCTTGCAACTGCGTTCTGCTTCTGGCGCGCAACTTGTCTGCCTCTTTCTCCAGGTCTCGCTTTGGTCATCCAGCAACGATGAAGCGGTACGCAGTCTCCAACCCTGGTCCTCAGAACCAAGGAGACACAATTCGCAAATCATCTTCATTCGATCCGCTTGGGCGTTCAACAGGGATCGAGGCTGAAGGCAGCGATTCTTCGCAAGGAGGTAAGATACGAGCGTTTGTTTTCTTTTTTCTCAACCACACATTTCGCGCTTTTGGTTTCTCACCCTGCTGCCCACGCCTCACCCTCCCTCTCTCACCTCTCTCACCTTAGAGCTGCCCTCGCTTCCCTTCACCTTCCGTCCTCAATCTGAGAAATTTCCCATCACGGATTTCATTACCACTCATCGTCCCCCTGCTGCTTCCCACCTGCATCAACACCTTGCTTAGCACCTGAGAGCACCAGCAGGCCAGTTCTTCTGCTGTATGCCTGTTTTCCAATCTTTGTTTCAATTGCCTCTCCAAATTCTCCAGACATCAACAACTTGGCTTCCGGATTGTATCAACGAAAACACACAACAGACGAGTCAAGTTGCTGTGACGAGGCATCTTGCTGACCAGTCAAGGTACCGGGCTCAATGCCTTTGCCCATTCAGCTTCAATGTCTCCTCTCAAGAGGTAAGTCTGCTCTCTCGTCTATTGCGAGACATTTCGCTCACACAATTGGCAATCAAGCAGCTTCGGTGCAATGAGCCGAGCCAAGGCTACACCCAACAAAGGAAAGTCCAAGGATGAACGGTAAGTTTAACAAAAGCGTTCAGGTGAATCTGCTCTCTCGTTCCAGCGCTGACTGTTATCGCGTGCCAGATTTGCTCAATTTGAAAATGAGGACGGCGACGTCTTTGATGGCGAGCATCATGCTTCAGAAGACAATGTCTTCAACGATGGGCGCCGCGCTTCCACCGAGAGCCACCTCAGAGGTGGCGAGTATGGCCAGGAAGACTCGCGTCCCAAGACCATCGTCACATGGACCAGTCGTAACAGCGCGGTTAAAGAAGAGAGCAACGAGGTGGACGCTCAGGACATTTACCCCTCCACCGCTTGCATTTTTGTTGCCAAGTACGTTCCACTTCCCACTCTACCCCAAATCATCTTGACATTGTACTGACCAGGTCCTCCCTCTGTTTGTAGCCTGGCTTCCAACGTTTCAGATGAAGAGCTTGAGGAGGAAGTGGTGGCCGTCTTTGAGAAATTCGGCAAGGCATTCGTCAAGCTCCGCCGCGATACTCGCAACATGCCGTATGCTTTCGTGCAATACACTGTAAGTCAACCGTCAGCCAATTACTCAACACAAAGAAGGAGATGGAAGCTCACCATGGGTAGTCGGACAATGATGCTCAACGTGCTTTCGAGAATGCACAAGGAATCAAAATCAGTGACCGTTGCTGCCGCGTCGAAAAGGCCAAGGCCAACTGTGGGTACAATTCTGACAGCTCTCTCTGAACACTTCTGACATGAATGAAAGCTGTCTTTGCAGTGTCCAAGAGATCCGGAGAAGCCATCTCCGAGGAGGAAGCTGGCCGCTTGCTCCGTCCTCTCGGGCAACTCTCTGAAGTTACCCCTCTGGACTGGGAGACTCAACGAAAGTTCGGCTTGCCTCCATCAATGCGTATCCAGTTCACTTTGTTTGACTCTGGGCGGGACCCTGTCAGAGTAAGTGACGAATCTATCCCGAACTCTTGGTCATGGCTCTGACAGCGTTGTGATTTGTGTTAGGCCTTCAAGGACCACCGATTCTATCGAGTGACGTCGCTAGAGCTCAACAAGGCGCCTGTTGCAGCCAACTCTGTGAACGCGAAGAGAGAATTGGTCAATAAGCGATCGGTATTCATCGGAGACTTGCCTCCCAACTCCTCGGAAGAGGAACTTAGGGAGATGGCCATCGGCTGCGGCAAGGTCCTTGCGGTCAAGGTCCGAACTCGATCATATGTTGGCAGCACAGGTGAGACACTCGATTTGCTTTGTGTTCCAGGAATATTGCTGACCTCTCTTTGATATAGAGGAAATTTGCTTTGCTTTTGTCGAGTTTGAGTCAGCGGAATCTGTGCAAGACATGATTGCCGCATATGTAGGTTCAGTGTCCTCGTGCCCAAGGCAGACCCGGTCGCTGACTCGAGTAGGATGGAATCGAACTCCGTGGTCATAGGCTTCGCCTGCAACAGCGCCAGTCTCGCACCATCATGTCTTCCGATGACCCATTCACGCCTACACCGGGGCGAGCCAAACCCCGAGCTGCCGTTTCTACCCCATCTTCATCTCGGCACACCATGCCCGAGTCCTGGAGAGGCAAGCAAGCCAGGCAGCCCACCGACGAGTCTCTGAAAACCCCATCTCGGGCTCCCACTCGCGTGTACCCTTCATCTGAGCGGACGCACACTGAAGGTCGCTGGGGTCGCATTTCAGGTGATGGACCTAACAACTCCACGCAGAGCTCATCTGCCTCTGCTACGCCCCAAGGTATAATGGCACAAAACATCAGTGCTGCGCAGCAGGGTGCCCTGATGAGATATCTGGAGCAAACGTCCGAGCAAGCCAGTATGCTTGCTCAAGTCAATAACCTCACTCCGCCAAGTGCCCAGCGGGCACTTGTTGCCGGTGCAACCCCGGCCGCCACCCTCCCTTACGGGATGAACCCCTTCATGATGTCACCCATTAGTCCTCTGGCGGCTTTCCAAGCACCTGCATTCATGAACGCAGGTGGTATGCCTGTGCCCGGGCACTTTTATGCATCCCCATACGGATGTTTTGACATGCCTGGGTACGTGCACTATCCATGCATTCCTCCCCCCGACCCAGTCATGACCGCTCCCAGCGGCGACGAAACTCCAACTCGAGGCCATTACACTCGCAACCGGGGCGAGCCCTACTCCAACGGCTCCCCTTCTCACACAAATCAGAGAGAGAATTGATCTAGGGTTGCCAGAATGCAATGAGCCCCAGCCCAAATGGCCGGAAGCTCAAGCACACAGCCTGATCTCTCTCCTCTGTCTGGTGTAACATTTGCAATTGCTTGGCTTTTAGCCTCGAGATGCGAATTATTTTCCACCTTTTTTTCGCGTTTGGTGATTTTGCTCAATGGAGCTCAGATTTAATGTTGTGATCTGCCTTGCTTGGTATTTGTTTCTTTTCTCTCCGGTCGCAGTCTACCTCCAGAGTCGATACAGACAACGAGGCCGGACAAGGCTTTGAACGGTATGATCTCTTCCACTTCACTGTGGAGGGGCATGCTTTTTTTTGTGATATTTTAGTTTTAATGTTTTTTTCTTCTTGTTTTCTTTTTGCGATCGGAGTTCAGGAAAAAGGGAACCAAAGGCTCAAACGATTTTAATGGAAACGAAATGGACAGAGTGAACGGACAACGACAGATACAACAGAAAATGGGAGAGGAAAGACAGGGAAAAAAAGGTAGTTGGTGATCGGATGTGCGCGGTTTCTTTGTCCTGCTCCCGAGTTCCCATCATGCGCATGCGCAGGGAACATTATCAGAGTAGTAGACCATGATAGTCAGGTGTTTTCATATTGTCTTTCTTGACATCAGGAGACAATGGTGCGAATCAATCAATCAGTCAGTCAGTCAATCAGAGAGCAGAAGCATGGTCGTGAGGTGAAGTTTTGGGCAGTTTAACATCCAACTGCGATGGGCTGAATGTGGGTGAGAATGATTGAATAACTCTGATCATGACCGACGTCTTGAGAAAATACACCGTTTTCTCCCGCACACACGAGGCACCAACAAAGACAAAGAGACAAAAGCGGGAACAAAACAGGAATAACAACAGAACGGAAAAGAAAGTGACAAACAGGATCATGGCCATCAGCAATCAAGGTCTGATCTGGGGTAATTAGAGTTCGTGGCCAAGAGCGAACACCCCACCGTGGCAAAAAGAATGGCGGCCTCCTACAGAGACTCGCCATCCTCCTCATTGCCTTCAGCCTCTGACTCGTCCGTCGACTCATCCTCGCTCAGCAGTGGCTCGCCCCGCGCGAGTTTTGCGGAAGCAGTCACCTGCCTCGCCCATTTCGCGATGTTCTCCCTGAGGATGGGGGAACTGGCCTCGCCGGTGGTCTGGTTGCTGTGGCGCTGTACCAGCCTGATGCCGATGACCGGCCTGATGGGCACGACGGTCTCGAAGAAGCCCAATTCCACCTGGCTTCGGGCCCAGGAGAACATGGTGCTTGTCAAATTGTCCGAGGCTTCGATGTGGTTCAGCCCTCGGTTTGTCACGACGAGGGCACCGCTCTGCGACCCGCCGTCTCCCCCCAGGTCGAATTGGCCTGCCATGATATTGAGAGGTCGCAAAAGCTTGCTGTAGCTGGAGAAGCCGACATCATCAAGCTCCTCCGTGCCCCATGACCAGGACACGTATTTCCAGCGATGGTTACAAACAAGATGGTCGCGGATCTCGAGCTCCACATCCTCTCTCCTCATGCGCCCAAAGGGTGGCCAGGCATGGGGGAGAGGCTGCTCCAAGTCGCGGGTTCTGTACTTATTGGGGAATTCACGTCGCAGCCGCCACACGTCAGCTCGAGAGACAGTCTCTCTGCGGGTGACGCCGCGTGTGCAGTAGCCATCCAGAAACGAGTGCGGGAGGCCAGTCCACATCGCCGATGTTGGGTCTGGCCCGGTGCAGGGAACCCACTTGCCGCGGTCAAGATACATCTCGATCCTCCCGATGAGGCTGCTGGGACCCAGGAGAGCACTTCCGAGCCAGAGTGGCCCCGCCCTCGGGCAGGCTTGGGAGAGGATCCTGACAACGGACTTATGGTCATTGGCCTCGAGAAAAGGGCGAAGGACATGTGCAATTGGCCCGAACCACGCACCGGCCGAGTTGCATGGGACGCCTTCGGTCCAGAATACACTCCACATGGCACACCCTATTGTCGAGGGATCGAGGCTGAGCGTCATGTAGTAGTCAATCAGCTTGAGCTCTTTAAGCAAGCAAGCTTCTCCCCGAGGGTCGAATAGTGGCACAGCCAATGAAGGTTTTGGAAGATCCATTTCCGGTGCCCAATGGCTCATGATGGTGTATTGGAGCGGGATGCACAAGGCGGCAACCAGAGATGGCGTGAGCTGTCCGCACAGACCGTATGCGACACACAGCCGGCCAACATAAGATGCGGCTTGCATCGACGATGGTGGCAGGTCGGTCGCGAGGACTGCGACATCAGGCACGTCGACACCGATATTCTCGATGGACAGAGCCCAAGGGAGAACAATGTCCCCTTCAACCCCCCACCCCCGTCCGTTGGCGAGGATTGCTTTCCACCATTTTCTCTCCGCCGAAGGGGCGTACCTGAGATCAAGCGCTTGGCCGCCACCTTCTTCGGCACTGTCTTGGGAGGTTGCCTCTTGCACCGCATAACTGATGGACCGGCCCTGGCGTTCGGCAAGATTCGCGCAAAGAACATAGGCCCAGCCAATTATCAATAGAGCGAGGCCGTTATTGGTGTCTCGGTCCCAGTTCTGGAAAGTTTCCAGGCTGGAGATCCGGCAGACGACCGGATGGGTCCCTCTAAGGGAGATGTTCCGGGGCATCACACGGGTCTTGGCGTCACACTCGGTTGCCGTGTTCGACCACTGAGCGGAGCCGGCGATGAAGCGGGCATCTTTGGGAATATAATTCGGCAAAGCAGGGATTCTGGACAGGAGCGCTCTGAGATCGAGGGGTGAGACATCGAAGCGGGAGGAGGCACGACCAAGTGCAGACAGGCGTGTCCAGTGTGCCTGGCTTCGTGACAGGACCAGTTGGGAGGTGGGACCGTCGAAAACCGGTTCAAAGCGATCCGGCCTGATCGGCCCCGGTGTCTCTTCCAAAGGCGGCGCATTCTGGGGTACTCCAGGGGGCTGCCCGTCGGTTGGAGGGGTACCTGTTGGTTCGGACATATTGAATGAATGAAGCTCGAAGGGTGGTTCTTATAATCAGGTGGGTGTGTACGTGGGTGCTCTTGACCCAGGACTTACACCGTCCCGGACTCCTCTTGGTTACACTTGAAGACAAGGTCAAGGAGCAGCCACCCTCATGATTTTGAAAGCTTCTTTGGCTTCAGTTCACCCCACGCAATTCGCACAGAGCGGCGGGACGAGATTGACTGGCGAGACTCGGGAGGTGAACAGGACAGGAAATGGCTATGAGGCTGGCGTCGACGGAAGAGACATGTCAGTCAGGCCGGTGCGGCAGTCTGTCGGTGTGGGCAGTTGGGTGGTATTGGTTGAGGGGATGAACAATAATCCGGCTCGACACGTCCAATTGAGAGGCTTATACCAATGGCTATCGCATCCCATGTCTCAGCTTTTGTTGGTGGTGTGCGCCACTGCGGTCAGCCCAAATGCTCAGGCCAGGTCTTGGGTGCCAATTGGACCTGGGGGGGCTGGCTCCATGGGAAGCGAGCGCACCTTCATAGATATGCTCCCGATCGCCTCCTGAGCTAATGCTGGGAAGCGGGCTTCTCGCTGGCCAGCAGCTGGAAATGAATACGAAGTGCTGCCGCTGTCTGGCGAGTGGCCTCAACAGCGGGCCGCCGTGTTGGGTGTGGCGGGAGGAGCCGTGAGGCAATCGGACGAGCGAGATCTCTGGCGCGAGAGTGGCTCTTGTGGTTTGGTGTGGCAGTTCGGCGACGTCAACATCTTCGGATCGTTAGCATGGAGGCATATATTAATTGACGTGATTCCCAATGGCCAACTCAGTGTGACAAATTGCTTCACAGCAGTAGCTGATCTCGCTCGTTGAACAAGGCGCCGCGGACACGACGGGCAATGACACCCCGGGTCGCTGGACAGCGTGGAACGAGGCACGGGCCCTTTGAGAGGGTATTCCGCCCGCCCAACCAGGTACTGAAAAAGAAAATAAGTTAGAAATTTTCGCGGCTGGTAATGATGAGGTCCCACCTGTGTTGACGCTCTGTTCGAGGTCTAGTGTGAGGCCCGTGTGAAGTCGAACGAGGACTCGAAATGTGATGGCATCCAGATCGTATCAAGCCCGGGATGTCTGGGGAGGGGAGAAGGATGTTATGGGATCAGGAGGAAGTCAATGGACCGGGATCGGGCTACACCGAGCCCTTGATTGTTGTTGGGAGAAGAGAGAACTCGACGCAGAGTGTGACACGGCGTGGGATATTCTGTCCCGTTGCTGGTCTGAACCTTCCTCATGACCCGTCCCTTGTTGATTGGCAAGCGAGAGGCGAGCGGAACAAGGTCAGCCACCCCTTGATCGAGCAAGAACCAAGGCTGCGCATTTCATCATGATGGAAGGCGTGATCCGGGGGACTGGTACAAAGCACTGCGATCACGAGCGTTACTTCTACTCGTTGGCACACCCGAGTAACCACACCGAGACCTACCCTGAATTGAATATTCATCAACACCCAAGTACAGATACATACAAAGCTACGGAGAGGTCTAGAAAGCTGATGAAGGCGTTGCACGCCCAGCAGCCGTGGCGCCGAGCCAGTGCGAGGGCGTAGGATGGGATCTTAGGCCTCACCAGCTCGTGTTCTGCAGGCAGACCAATGCTTGAGCGACCGAAGGCATACGATTGCGACTCCGAGAGCATTGAACCGCCGGCAAGAGTGAGGCTGGATGGGCCCTGGGCAGAGCCATGTTGAACCACGAGGAGTGCAGTGTGCAGTGTCTACTCCGGTGACATCTTTGGCGGCTGTGGTTGGGCACGCCTTCATGGCGAGTGAGCTTCACGCCTTCTAGGGTCTCTCTAGTCTGTTATGTTTTTGACTACACTTCACAGGGTCGAAGCATCAACTGGGACTGGGTTTGAAAAAGACTAAATTGATTCACGTGCATTCTGGTTGCATTCCGGCTCAGCTATTCTCTGGCCCATTACTGAACAATCCCGCCTCAATTTTCCTTCTCCGCATTGTGTCGTTTAGCCTGGTTGCCCTCATTGGAATCCGACCGCTTTCTCTTTCTGCGGTTGAGGGGACCCTCTGGAGCCGAATCAGCGCCGTCCTCGTTCTCACCTTGGGGGACAACCGGATCCCGCCAGGTGATTCTGGGATCCAGCATCTTCTCGGCAGTCGCACCCTCGCCCTGGAAGAAAGGCATAGTATCGCTGCGGAACATGAGCATGGCGAAGCGCGCAAAGAGATACTCCTTGGCCATGTCAATGATAACACCGGCGGAGTGATTGTGGTAGAGACTGATGTACTCATCGCCGTCGCCTGGAGTGAAACAGCGGAGCACGAGGGGAGCGACCCGGTCGGGACGCTTCTTTCGGGGCACAACTGTGAACATGCAGGTCTGGAAGAGCCGGAGCTTCTTGGGGCGGAGTGAAATCAAGTTGCCAAGATCGTCCATTGGCTGGAGATGTCTTGGACTTCGGCGATAGCTTGAGACGATGTTAGCAGGGGCACCAAGTTTAGTGTGCAAGACAGGTCAGGTAAGGGCAACGCACTTTTGCATGTCATTGAAGAGGAACCACTTCTCGTGTTTCTGCGGGATCAGGCGGGCCACCTCGTGGGCATTCTGCTCGGTCCATTTCTCGCCGCCCAAGTCTCGCTCGATGGCACCAACCGCCCCGCCAAGCCTGTTGAAATCTGGCGGCAGGCCCGAGATGGAGATCTCGGCCCAGGGCTTGGGGAGCTCGTTGTGGGGAAAGCGCCAGTGGTCAAAGGATGGCACGACTGGGTATTTGTCTGCGTCCGCCGTCAGTACGAGAGCTCCAGCACGGCAGAGAGGCGCGGGGTTGAACAAAACACCACAGACTTACACGTGGCGGGGGTTCGGTCATTGATGAAGTAGTAATACTCTTCGTGGGTCCGCAACACCTCGCCCCTGGTCTCGATGAGCTTTAGGTAAGTGTTGTTCCTGCGTATCTTGAGGCCGAGGTAGCCATTGGGCCAGGTGTTGCCGGTGACGATGCCACAGGCGATGAGGGCGGTATCATGGTCAAACGCATGAACGGGCTTCTTACCCTCCCAAGTGCGGTCGACGGCCCTGAACTGCAGTAGCGGCGGCGCGGTGCTTGGGTAGGCAGGATGTCGAATAGTGATGTAGGGGCGGTCGGTGCTGGTTGGGCGCGGGGCCTCGTCAGGTCGGACCTCAAGACTCCGCTGGGGATCCATTGTAGTGGACGCTGGAAAGTGATGGGTTGTTGACGATGATTCTCACGAGAACGCTAATGGCAGGGCCGGGGGCAGCCAGCGCTGTCAGGGTCATTGGGACCACGAGTCTCGATCGATGATGGTGTTGAGAATGATGTGTCAAGAGAGGGCAGGCAGGCTCGTCAGAAAAGGACAGGACGGGACGGGACGAGCTGGTCAAGAATGCAACAATCAATTCCAGTCAGTGCATCTGCCGTACATAGTTGCTTAGCGGGGCGGCTGGGATCAGCTCTCAGCGGCACCAGACCAGACATTGCATTCCATCAATACTACAACATTGCTCACCGGCTGGGCCACGGCCAGACCACTGCAGCCATGACCAGCCGCGACCCACCGCCATGCGGGAGGCGGCAGGGCTGGACGCTCATCAGGGAGCTACCTTAGCACCCAACGTGGTACGTACTTGAGGTAGCACCGAGGGGACTGAGACTGGCTGATGAGGGAGTGAGGGAGTGAGGTCTCAGGGAATGAATGGGCTGGAGGGTGAGGGAGGGCAAGGGAGAGCCGGGGAGGCAGGGGGGCCTGGACCCTCTAGGCTCAGCGCGGGCTGGCGACGCTCGCACCCGGCGCCAGCAAATAAAGCTGCACTTTGGCTCAGCCGGGTGTGGGCACAGATCGTCGAAACTTGGTCCGACGGAGACCAGTTCCAGGAAGAGTGACGTGCAGACGGGCTGGCCAGCTCGACCGTCGCACCACGCAATGTCTGCGCGCGCAGTGTTGGTGGATAAAATTCCCCGACCAGAGGAGAGAGCACACACACACACACACAGACAGACGTCCATCCGCCCATCCATCCAGCCAGCCATCCACCACTGCAGCCAGTCCAGCAAATGACCGGCCGTGAGCACTCGCCTGCCACCACCCAGCGTTCCCCCAGGTCACCTCGCACGTAACCTTGGGTGTGCACTCGCTGCAACAGCTGCAATGGAACATTTTGCTTTCGAGTGGGCGAGCGAGTGATGTGTGCACCTCAGCGGGCAGCGGATCGTCTGGCCAGCACCGTCTCTCACATTCCCATCCATCGCGCCCTCACACCAGTTCAATGCATCATGGATGCAACACCAGCACCAGCTCCTCCCACGCCCCCCTCGGCCTCGCACACACCCTTGCATCCCTTCACCTCCATCCCCCTCCACCGGCTCGAGCGGGCTGGCTCGCCCGCACTGGGTACGTATCTAGGTACCAGCTGCCAAGCCGGTCTCCGCGTAAGACTAGTCGCGCACGGGCCATATCCCTTCTCAAAAACGATCCGTCACCCACCAACAAGTAATCCACAGCTTGTGGTCAGCCGAAACGGGCAGCTGGGCTGTCGATCGCCCATCCGGCTGTAAAATTATTCAACACGCTGAGACCATCTGGTCTGGGCTGTAATTGCACTGAGACAAGATGCTACGCGGGGCACGGTAGGCGTCCCGGGCTAATTGAGCATCAATGTCTGGCCTTGGTCTGCTCCCTTCCAAGGCCAGCCCCGGTAGCTGGCATCACCATGTCCTCACCGCTAGCCGGTGCGGCGTAGATAATGACGATGAGATGCTTGATTACATGTTTCGGCAGATGCACGACGCCGCTCAGCTCTGGGAGAGACAGCTCCGCTCTGCTTTTCTTTTTTCGTTTTGTTTCGTGAGGCGGTCGGAAGGCAGAAATTGCAAGCGTCTAATTGCCAGGTCCGGGGTTCGTCGTACGCCCGTCGCCCATGTTCCGAATGTACTGGTACCTGGGTCTGTATAATTCTCGTCTTGATAGACATGTTTCACGACACTGGTGGCTTGGTCGGCCGACCTGAAGGACGCCGATGGTGAGTTGGCATTGCTTCATGGCTTGGTGGCTTGCTCGTGTAACCAAAAAGCAAGGAAGCAAAGGTTCTTGCGATGGATCTACACCCAGTGACCGGCTGCAGGCTCTCTTGTTGCTTTTTTCTCAGAATGTCTGAGGCGTATGCACCTTCGGAGGCTGACGAAGGAGGGAAAAGGTCCCAGACCCAACTACGGACACTCCGTGGCCACTGCATGGCGCGTGAATGCCCAAGCCGACGACCATCGGGTTGCCGTAATCGTTGTTGCCTAGATTATTGACTTTGTGGCTGGCTGCACGAGAAGGATAGTCTGCCCGTGGACCAATGAAGGGGGATGGTGAGAACATGGATAGCATCTTTTGTCTCAACTCTGCAGCCGTCGGTTCCCGGTCACTCTTTGCTTTTCAAGTGTGGGTGACGGTCTGGGCAGTTTTCGGGGTCAACGCGATTCCCAGAAAGAGAGAGAGAGAGTATGGTGCTCGGGGGAACGTGGTGCTCCAGGAGAACATGGTACCCTGGGAGGACGTGATGTTCCAAGGCAGTGTGATACTCCAACAGCAGGTTCACTCTGCGGGATGCCCCGGGTGCTCTGGGCGAGGCATAGGTACGGATGCTACCGTTGGTAGGCTCCTCGGACCGGTGGCAAGCAGAAGGTACTGCAATGTTCCCACAAACCCCCCGTCGACTTCACAATTTACGACGCTTTGAAGTTATCGTCGGAGGGGACTCTGCCCCTCTGCGTTGAAATTACGGTGTCCGCTAAGGTGATCATATCACAACGAGCCCCTTCCCCAAACCCAAGTAGTGAATGAGGATGGAAATACTCTCTAGTGTTAGTCTTTGCTTGCGAGTTTCACCAATTTCAAAGGGCTTTCGAGGTCTGGATGTATTCAAAGTAGGCTCTGTCAAATGAAACCAGTCCAGTCTTGGACAATTGTACCAGCTCAGTGGTCCCCACGCCTCCTCACGCTTGATGGACGGTCAAATGAGACTCACGGGCGTTGAACCAAAAGTGAAGATTCCCGCTCAGCTCACAAGAACGCCAACCCTCCCCGTGGCAAGAAGCGGGTGCAACGATCTCATCAGCGTCAAAAACCACGTCCGCCGCTTCCATCCGTGGAGCATCCGACGATGCGCGATGGCCACTATATTCTCTCTGATAGTAAAATAGCTTTGATGGGTTCTTATACAACATCACTTCTTTCAGAGCCCAACGACATTCACCCACAACTCTGATCGTCGAGTCATAGTATGTGATGATCATCCCTCTGCAGAACCCGGGGGCTCCATCGGAATACACCTTGACTGTGTGAATGTTTTCCAGAGGAGCCATGGAAAAATGGGGATCCCGGAGCGGAGGCAGCCTTGCTTCGAGCGTCTGAACTTCTTCTTTGCAGAATGCTGTCTGAGGCCACACGGTAAGACTAGGAATCGAATAGTGCGTTGGTGCTTCGTAGACAAGAGTAGGCCTCCCTCTGACTGGGAACGTGTAATCTTCCGCTGGTCCATCTTCTGGGTTATACCATGGCCCGATGGTATGTTGCCCCGATTTCAGACGGATCTTTTAAAATTAGCCACGCTCCATCAAGAATAATCGAGTACTCACGATAAGGCTAGGAAGCCAGCGCCTTCCCTGGCTGCATTGAAACCGAAGGCCTAGCGAAAGGACCTCGTCAGTCGGTCTGAGAGGAACATAAGACCAAATGGCCGAATGCCTGAGCTGGAGAGGAAATATTTCCTCGTAGGCCTTCAGAGCAAAGGATTTTTCAGTTGTGTGCGCGTATATGGCAACCACACCATGAGGGGAACTGAAAACCGTAAGCCCCTCACATTTGCTCAAGTCTATTGATATGAAGCGGCTTGCTGAGAAGAGGCTTGTGCGCGGTGCGAGGTCCGGTGGTGGTCCAACGGAATCAATCATCATTTCGTTATTTGGAGGAACTTGGGAATGCCAGACCTGAACCTTTCGCCCAGACGGGACCACCAAACGAGCTAGACCATACTGGCTCCAAGATTAATATGCTGAATTTTGCTCTTGAGGAAGGGGCGGCCTCACCATGAAATCAACAGAAAATCCGGAGAAGCTCTCAACAGGCCCACTGATGTAACGCAGTTTTTCTGAGCGGGAGCGGCGACGGTCAACTAGTTCATGAAGCCGGACGATGTCCCTGAGCCCTTGAGAATCAATGACAAGTAGAATGTATTGCTCGTTGCTGCTCTTTGCTGCTCGTAGTTGTGCGCTGTTGGTGTGTGCTTCCAATGGCTGACCATCATTCAGGCTCTGTAACACTGTTGGCTCCTGTGTTCGAGACCAGCCGTGTATTTCACCAAGAGGAAGGGTCCCAGCAAAGGATGGGGCCCAGTTTATCTGGCGTGCAAGCTCGCAGACGGTCGTGTAGCGCCAAAGAAAAACGTCGTCGCCGCAGAGGTCAAGAATCATGCGTTGCACACTTGGGGGAAGCTTTACAAGAGAAGGGCGTCTGCACACAAACCCAGCCGCGTCTATGCAGGCCTCAGGGTTATCTGATGGAGGCAAGAGCAGCGGTGGGCAGCGGTAACAAGGATCTTTCCAAGTACTTGCAATCCATAGCTTCATGAAACGGTCTTGGCCCTTTATTTCATCGAAAAAAAGGTTGAGGCAGTCGTGATGGCATGCTATGGCCATGGGAGCATCAGCACAACGTCCACAGCCCTCGACGTCACAGGGGTAATAGAGTTTGTCCAGTTCTAAGGCGCCATTTGGCAGGTAAAATGGGGCAAAGATTCCCAATATTTGATATTTTGTGAAAGCATTGTCACGTCTGGCCACTATGGCGATTTAGCAACTGACTTGCATTGGCTGGGATGTATTGAAAATCATACCAGCGGTCATGCTCCCATCAGACGCGAACGACCTTCCACAGGCACCGCACCGATGGTGGAAGGGAAGATGAATCGTGGGGACACGGGAGGGCGAAGGCTGTCTCCTGAGCATGGCTGCTTGTAATAGCACGTGAAGAACCAGTATGAAACTAGGACAGTGTGTGCTGGTGATGCAAACAGGCTTGAAAGCTTGGACGGATGGATGTTTATGAAAGGCAAGCTGCAGGGACGAGACGGTTTGGTGTCGACGGCGAGACGCAGACTTGAAGGGTGGAAAAGTTTATCGCTAGAACAAGATGAAGCGTGTGAGCCGTGGCGAGTGGGATCATACAACCGGCTCAAGACAACCCATGCTACCTGTAGTCGTCGTGGGCCGTAAAGCTTAGCATATCTGGGGAATGTGCGGTCTCCGTAGCCTAACCACCATTGCGAACATAACCATCGAGATGACAGGCATTATGGCTAAGTCGATATAGCGGACGCAAGACCATGGCTAGGCGGTCGAAGCGAAACACGGACTTGTCCATTCCCCAGGCTTCCGCACAGATGAGCCTCTGAGGAACCGAGCTGTTGCACTTGGTACACCCCCCTCCTTTAGAAAGACCATATGTGATCTGGCCCACACCAACACGGGCATAGGATGCTCGGCTAGTAGGTTTAATTGCGGCACAGGAGACAAGATGAGCGTCAGCCTATCACAAGTGCCGTGCGGCTCGTCCGATCGGCCAAGAGTACCATCTTGATCACGCCCGCAACGCTGCCAAAGGTTGACTTTTTGAAACGTCTAGGCAATGTGATTGGTCGTTGGCTAGCGAGTCTCACTCTCGGATGGTGTTGGGGAGAGGTGTGTGTGAGGAAGAGTGCAGCAGCCGACCATAGCATCCCCAGGACGGTAATCCGAAATGTACCAGAGTTAATGCGCATGCTCACAAAAGAGCCGAGAGACAAACACGTCCAATCGAGGCGTGATTTGCCGGCGACCTGGCCATGGGATGAGCTACGGGCCCCGATCAGTATTCTGGCTTGTTTCGGCAATGGTCGAGGAGCAGCTCGACAGCTACAGAGATGAGTTTCTCATTAGTACCTGAGCAAACGGGGTCTTCGTTCGACAACCTGCTACCACAAGAATGCCTAGACACAAGTCCTGCTGCTGTCATAAATCACATAGCTGATTCTCCACTACCCATCCTACTTGCCAAGCGGATATGTTGATTGGTGGGTTCCGTATCTGTACCCAAGCATCGCCACGGTGCATTGCAGAGACGTAGGGAGGTGAACTTTGTTGGGTTGCAGACCATACCGAGTCGGCCCATTCCCTGTAATGTACATTCGAACTCACCTCTGGCGACGTGTCTCAGGCCATGCCGCTGATACTTGCATGGTAGGTATACCCAGACCGATTGAAGGTTTGTACGCACAGTAGAGGAGGTGACATCAAGCTGTACGCTGTTCAGATGTAGTGTGTTCCGAGTAGGCCGCACGCTGTTAGCTTGCAGCACGTTCTCAACAGAAATAAACACTTTCCCTCCTCAAATGCCAATGCCTCCCTTCTTTCTTCGTCACCTGGCCCCTCCTCCCCATTTCGTGTGTGCAGCGACGTACGCCACTAAAGAGGTACAAGATGAAGCAACAAGACATAGACAAGCTGAGGCCGGGGGCAAGCAAACTTCGGTTGTCAAAGGGCCACCTGAACCTGCGTGAGCTCAATAGACTGAAGGTCGTCAAGAAAGCCTTCCTCGAGTCTGAACAGCAGCGAAATGCGGCCTCGTCCCAGACGGCACGGTTGCATAAGCAGGTTGAGCTTACGTTGTCGGCCGTATATGTCAATTGTGGCCCTCTCATGTTCATTCTATGCTGCGTGACTTTCAGGGCGTACTCGATGATAAAATTTATCACCGGCGGCCGGTTGTCTCAGGTGATTGATGGGCTAGAGGAGTGGAAGTCAACCAGCGAATGGAAGTTGCTTTCGGCAGACTTTGGAGGGCAAGAGCTCATCCGCAATGTATTCGGCCAAGAGTTGGCGGCAGCACTGCGCACACTCGACGATACTCGTCAGAGAAACGCCGGCCTCTGGACCCCAGCACCAGATTGCAGGCCATTACGGCGGGCCAGAAGTCGACCCGTTCGCATCCTTCCCGCCAATGAGCCTCTCACGAACTATGGTCCAAGAAATGAGATTGTCTGGGCCCCATCAGTTTCGCCTAGCCAGCCCTGGGCTGGGCTGGCGAGCAACGGTGGTCTCAGAGGTGGTGCGACGTCTGCTCCCGCTGTCTACAATTCAGACCCGATGGAGGTGATGCGGATCTGCTGCACGTTCAACACTTTCGACCATCGCCTGGAACTATCGCCAGACAGCTGCTCACGATTGAAAATCACTATGGTGGTCAACTGCTCTCCTGAGCAAGCCCGGTCTCTCACGCACAACAAGCTTCCCCTGCCGCCGTCGTTGCAGTGAGCATAGCCGAGCTGGTATTGGCTTGGACCTCTCAGTCGCGGCCTCCAGCATCAAGGCTGCTCTCATTGTGCACATCAAGAATGCTTACCGACTCTTGGACTTGTTCGTATCGACGTGTCATTTTTTTTTTGTTTCTCTTTTTTTTTCCCCTTCTTTTTCTTTTGCGAGCTTGGGTATGAGTTCTGCGTGCAGGGGTCCTCTCAGCACTAGCAGCCGTCAGTGGCCGCTTTTAAATCAAAACGTGTTGGACTGACTGGCTCTAACGAGCTCTCTGCCTGGCATTTAATGTGTATTTAAACGGCCGTATTCAATCCGGAGTCATTATGACCTTGAGAAATTGTGCGTTGGATGTGATATTCAGAGGGTTACTCATGGCCTGTGTGCCACCTCCATCTTACAGGGGTGGCTGGCTGCGGGGCACGCCTTTTGAGGCAGAGCACGCATTCAACATGGCGGGTGCTCTGACTGTTCAATTGCCGGCAAGTATCAACCTATCGTAATAAGTGGCCGTGCCCGTAGAAGCCGAGTTTCTCAGGAAAGGACCCTTTGCGAGACCCCTAATTCGATCGGGTCGATCTGGGTGACGGACAGGGGAAGCGGGCAATCCGCGCCAACCTTGTTTGCTGGATCTGAGCCGGACCAAGGCCAAGGCCAAGCTAAGCAAGGCCCACTTGGTCAGACGGGCGAAAGTACCCAGTGCTGGTCGGGATCCTGATTGACACTGGGGCCCAGGTATTACTCAGAATCACTGATCCGAGACAGACAGACAGACAGACAGACAGACGGACAGACCATGCAATGGCCGTGGCATGTTGGAGCAGAGCATGCAATGAGACTGGAGCGGCAGCCTGCCTGCCCAATGCAACGGCGGTCGGCTGACCTCCTTCCTTTTGCCCGGCTGAGATTGATTTCAGCCAGCCACCAAATTGCGAGGAAAGATTGCGAGACAAGTGAGAACAAGCCTAAGCCGGCATCGATCGGCTCACCAGTGGGGCAGCCGGCCAATGAGCAGCCCAACATCAGCCCGTTCCGCTTCACGATGCTTCGCTGCACGCTCGAGCACACCTCCATGGCTCTGCATCTGCCCACTTTCCCACCAGCACACACACACAAACACACATCAGGGAGCCCATCCTTTGTGTCGTGGTGCCCTCTCGACTGGAAGACATCATGCACTCGGCGCTGGTGATACCACCCTCGATGCCACGACTGTTCTTCCTTCCCGAACCTGCCCGTCCCAATGCTCCCCCGCGCCTCCAACCCTGCAATGCATCCCTGTCGCACAAAGAACAGAAACCGTAAGTTCGCCTTCTGCCACGATGAACACGTGAAGGGAGGGGGGGATGCGGCCCGTAGGAGTCGGTTAGATCCATCGTACTAAAAGTCCTCGCCGTGCATGGTCCTCCACAAGCTGCACAATTAGGGAAGACTTTACCAGGTTGGAAGGTGCCAATGAAAGGAAGTGACCCTCCGTGCATGTTCCAGCGCACTTGTTGGGGTGGTTTCACTCACCGGAAGCGCGCCACCAGCCTTTTGTCACTCCGCGTTCGGCTGCATGAGCTGTGCCATGGACGAGGAAGTTGGAGGGGTCTGCAGCCGACTCACTCAGTTTGGGCTCTGTGCTTGCAACCCAAGTGGTGGGGACGGGGAGAGAGCCAGCAGCTGGTTCCGTCCATGATGTGGTTTCGGTGACAGGGTGTGTCCCAGCGGCTGATCAATTCATCCTTGACGACCTATCTACAGCCGGCAGCCACAGGTCAGGCTACAGGCCAAGCTACAGAGATTCTCATGGCTTCCTCTTGCAATCTCATTGGTTTCTGCTCGCTCCAACCAATCAACAATAAGCTATGCGTTCATCAGCTGGAATCCATAGTTGTCCTTTCACAAAGCACGTGATAGGCAGTAGGTACTGCCCTACCAAGATGTGAAGGGCAACTTACTGCTGAGAAACTTTGGGACATACAAGCGGTCCTCTTTGCAAATTCCCGTCGGACTCTGCTAGAGGAAAATCAATTGAATCTTGGGAAGCTATCTTGACCTTAGAACCCTCACGTCCAGTTAGGCGAGGGACAAGATTCGTCCTTATCCATCGGAAACGTGATCACTCAGCGATTCTACTGCTAGTTCCCGCACTCTGCACAACCCGTCACGAATCTCCGGGACAAATTCGAGCATCTCTTCAGGTTCAGCCACCTCAGACGTATCAACCTTGAGAAAAGAGTCACTCCCCTTGCTCCAAAAATTCACAACCCCCCGCATTTCAGAGTGAGCCCAGAACTGCGTAGGCCCCCTGCCAACTTCCTGCGGATAAAACGTCCCAAGATCAGGATGTTCCTTAGTTGCGATATCAACATAAACCGCTCCATATCCTCCTCTAGTCCAGCCTGTAGTATGCGGACGGAGGGCATGATACAGCTTGGCTGGCTTCTCATAAGTGGATACAACATCCAGGCCCAAACGGCACTGGCCAAGAGACCTCTGCCTCCCGTCACGATATGTGAACATCATACCTGTGCAGGTTCCGTTGTCCGCGCTGCGGAACACGTCAATTGATACCACGTCTTCTAATGGGGCTGAGGAGAGACAGCCGAAATCAAGTGGACACGATGGTCGTGTACGAATGTAGCGATAGTGTGCTTTGACGCCCGTCTGGGGGGAAACCGCAATTTGATTGATATAGGGCACAAGCTGAATAGATGAAGATGGTTCGTAGATTAGAACAGGACGTCCACGGGTCTGAACTAATACATCGGACACTGCCCCGCTGCGGTGTGGTCCGATGACGTAGTGTCCAGATCGAAGGTGAACCTTCTTGGTCAGTCACAGTCTACAGTATCCAAATTCTTTCAAACACTTACCAGAAGAGTAGGAGTCAACTCAAGGGGGCCAGATCGCCGGGCCCGGAGGCCAACTGCAAGAACCTCATCGTCCGCTGCCAAAGGCATATAGAACCAAGTGACAGGACCATCGTAGTAGAGCCTCAGGCGCTCAAAGGCCTCAACAGCGTCGGGGCTTTCCGGCGTGTGCGCATGAACTGCATGCACTCCACTGGGAACAATGAAAAAGGTAAGGCCATCGCATCGCCGGAGATCGATAGTTGCAAAGCGACTTATAGGAAGCTTGGGCATAAGATTCCAGGGATAGTTATGCGAAGGCTCATCCCCTGCGACTGTCGTTCTACGTTGGGGGGTAGCAGGAGAATCCCAAAGGCTGAGCTCTTGTCTAACTGGAACTATCAACCGAGCAAGGCCACACTAGACAGGCGTTAGTGATTCAATGAACCCGGCTGTGGCGGGAGACTTCTGACCTTGAAATCAACTTTGATGCTTGAGAATTGCTCGACAGGTCCAGTGATGTAAAGGAAGTGATCAGAGCGGACGGTAAGGTCCTCCATCGGCTCAGCAACCCAACGGATCTCCATGAGTCCTTGAGCGTCAATGATCAGTTGAATTTCTTGTCCATCCTTGGCAGGGGATACTATTAGTTTGCCACCTCGGTTCCAGGACTGTATGTTGTCAAGGGGAAGAGTGGCGTCTAATGGTTGGTCTGAGGCCAATTCTCTCATGAGTTGAAGGACTGATGCGTAGCGCCCAATCGCAGTTGGGCCACTGAGCTTGACGATATCTGTCTTCAGCTCAAGTGGAAGCTTCGCAAGATCAGGCCACTCCAATGCTTCCTTTGCACAGTCCATATAACTCATGACATTATCCACTGGGGGTAAGCGCAACTCTGGGCAACCAGCCAAAGGGTATCTCCAAGTGGCTGCAACCCACAGCTTGCGGAGGCCATCACCATTTTGCATATTTTTCAAACAAAGGTTGAAACAATCGGAATGGCAAGTTATGCTTTCATTGTTGACGCCACACATGGGGCAGTATCCCATGCGGCAAAATTGATAACGCCTACCTGCCGCAGAGACATCCCAGACCTCTGGAAGGCGTGGACCATCGGAGTCCGGGAATTGTCGAGCATCAATCGTTATGAGGGAATTCCGATCATATTTCACTGGAACAATTCAGTAGCTGGTCTAGATGGAAACATCTGATAGTCTTACAAGCGGTGATATTATCACCAGGCTCAAACAACGTTCCACAGGTACCACAGTGTGGATGGAGCCGGACATGAATCGGACTTGGGTCTCTCAGTTCTGGCATTAGTGGCAGGACAGGCCAAGGCAGTTCACGCCCCGTATTTAGCCTTGGTGCATATCGTCTCTCCATAACTGGTTCTATCCTTGGATGGTGGTTGGGCGAGAGGATTCTGGTCGAGAGAGTAGGATCAGGTTGAGCGAGAAGAGCGAACTCAATTAAATGCGAGAGATTCCGCAGATATATATAGTGGAATCAACGTGACTAATGTGAGACATTCCAACTTGCCGATGATAACTGAACACCCAGAATGCCTAGAAGCCAAGCTAATACGCATAAATGTGATACTGGATGCCGCACACCGAACGCACGAATGCAGCAGGAAGCAAGCAGGATAATACTTACTGTTGGACTCAAAGAGCAAGAATATTCACTTCTGGATTAGCTCAGTCGGCTCGCCTTCCTCTGATGATGTGTATCTGTTGGTATTCCGTATACCGCACGTTACTAGAACGCCACTGATGCAGGGGTGTCCCTCTGAAAGTGCGGACCTATACGAGAATTGGCTGCCGTCTGAGTTTCAGCATCAGCCCGGGCAAGATGCTGGTAGAGGTGAGACCACACTTGAAGCTTTAAATGGAGCTGTTTGGGTGATTGGGATGGACTTTCTTTGTCTGGTTTTCAGAGTAATTTGTCACTAAGCTTCCGCGTATTTGGCATCTTAATGAGAGACACTGAAGAGATGATGGTCTTTGTAGTACTCCGCAGCAGCTTTGGTGGTGCGGAAGGCTTCACTCCTGAAGCTGCTTTTTTTTCTTTGCTTTTTCTTTCTGGGTAAGCAAAGGCTTTGGTTTGATAACTGACAGCTCATCTTCCTTGTGCAACGCATAGAGCCTAGAACCGGTGCACAAAAAAATCGGATCGCCCGATTCCTTCCTCGCCAGAAAAAAGAAATGTCAATCTGCCCACAGCAGCCGTATGGGTAGTAAAGCAACGGTACTAGTAAGGTTCTGTGACGGTCGTAGGCCAGGCAGCAAGAGAATACGCCAGGCGGAGTCTGCGCGTCTTTCAGCCGAGACAGCGTGATCAAAAGGTCTTCGCATCGCAAGTCTTTGGAACAGAAATTCGACTTGTTCGGGATGATCCAGTCGTTCAGGTTGTTGAGCTTGTTCTTGAATTGCGGAGGCACTGGAAGAAGTTTCTTGATCCAGATTGACAGCAAAGCTCCATCTCCATGACTGAAGGTGGTGCCAGAGACACGCTTCCAGCATGTCAATACTTTTTGGAGGCGTAGGTGCAATCCTTGTAGCTCCCTAGCCACTTTGAAAACGGGCTGCCACCGCCTGCAGACAGGCAACGTACATGCCTACTGTCCATCTCGCCGCACTGACCCTGGACCTAGGGATGTACCAAGGCAGTAGCTGTCTTCCCCTCTCTTGTAAGCGACTTGCTTGACTCTGACGCAGCTTCTTCTCTCGCCAATTATGATGCTTGGCTCCATGATTGACGGCATCTGCCGGGGAGCAGGCAGCACAACCATTGACTGTTGTAGTTGACCTTTGCCCGAACAGCCGCTCGTGTCGCCAGAGAGCTTTCCTGTCTGGACTGAGAACTCAAATGTGCAATGCTGCCATTGCGGTTGACCCCGAAGCTGAATTGTCCACTTCCTGGTTAAGTGCGACCGGCAGTAATTTGAAGGGCTCCTTGAAGGAATGTGAAAGAAGCGAATTGGTCGTCGTAAGCTCGCCCCCTCACGGCAGTAGCCTATGTGACATTTCGCGACGCCATTGCGCAACTGCGGTCATGATTCGACTTCTTCTTGAGCTAATATACCGTTGCCAAGTGAACATGTTTCGACCAGAAACCGTCTGTGCCTGATCTCAGGTAGAATTGCGATCAACTCGCATGCTCATCGGCGAGCGAGTCAGAGCGGCCCGCTGCCAATCGTGCGACTACCTCGCCCGAAACATTAAGCTGCGCTGTTCTATCGAGTCACCCGACGCCCGCTTTCGAACCGACCGTCTACATACCCATTTCTCTGCCGTGAGGGTCGATAGGTCCTGTCATGAAGTCATCCAAAGTTGGGGGCATCTCTCAATGGCCATACCGAAGCGGAGCATGCTCTCCTCGATGTCCACTGTCCAAAAAGAATGTTCACCCACATCTCGTCGAACGAGGACACGACACGTCGGAGAAACATTGATCGGGCTACTGATGTGATGAGCCCCGCTGGTTCGCCAGCAGCAGACCTTTTGATCGGCTACGTTTGGTAGACAATAATCGCCTGCCGTACGTCTTGCCGAATTGCTGGGGCCAAGTGTGTGGTCGCAGGCCACCGTCGTTATGGCAGCAGAGCTCCAACGTCGTGCCACTAGTTCACGCACATAGTGAGCTGATCCTGAAAATGATTCTAGTCGAGAAGTGGTGTATTTAGGTGGGTGGACAGCTTGAGATTGCGATTTTTAGGCCATCCAGGGGAGAGGTATCACAGTTCGACCCCGAACATCGGGTAGCTCTCAACCTTGATGCCACAAGGTAGACTAAGAAAAGGTCCGTTGTTCCAATAGCTCGCACATAAACCGTAGACAGGTATAGGAGGCTACGCCCAGAGCATGTCCGTGTTCGTGATCTTTCCATTGATGTTCCAGGATGCTTAAAGCTCATACCAACAGCAAAGAGCTGTGCCTGGTTTTGACAACAACGCCCCTTTCTATGCCAAAAAGTTCAGAAGCATCAGCTGGTGATCCAATGAGCCTAGAGTACTTGAAGATCACGGCCTCGGCGCTGGAGGTGATCTGATACCGAGCGTAGTGAAACACGGTCGATTCGTCAAAGTGGTTGAGCTCTCACGGCTTGTTGATATCTCGCTCTACGTAACTAGTTTCCGTGCCTTTCTTTATTACGGGTCAAGCCCAGCCCCGGACGTGAGTTGATTTCGTAGTCGTCTCGCCTTCTTCTGAATGCTGCGGATTGTCCGAATGCCAACTGTGGTGGGCACGCCGCTAGAAAAACAGAAAACGGCATTGTGTACCCAGAACTAGAGGTCATTGTCCGGCCATTGCGCTATACCCAACCATAGGCTGATTTGAATAGTTGGAGATAATACTCGGATCTGGTCGGCCTCGGCAGAATTGAACGATGGACCATTGCCATTAGAGAAAATCAGCGGGAGACCGTGCCGTAGCGAAGCGGAACAGAACCGGAATCAGAGCAATACTGTACCAAGCTTGCCTCAAGTCGAAAGGTGATTTGATGTTGATAGAAAAAGATGGCGTTCCGGATCGCGACTATTTGGAGCATCACGGCCGCCCAAGCCCATACATATCATATCAGTACCAAGAATAGCACGTATCGCAGTCATTGGCACGGCGCCTATCCTCCAGGACGGCGAGACCAAGCGTGGGAGTATGTGGCTTCTGATTATCAACACCAGCAACTGTAAACCAACTGGTCATATCGGGCAGGAATAGGAAGGATCATGGCAATGAAGTAAAGCACAGCCAGGCTGCGGTTGAGTTTGGAGAGCAGGTTCTCAAGCTCAAAGAGGACGAAATATAGAAGTCGCCGAAGATGATCTGGATAATCAGGTAGGGTCCGTATTGGCAGATAAATATGCGCAGTGGCAACAGGAAGGGAAGCGAAACCGGTGTAATCTCGGGCTTGTTGCTGCGCGTTCACGAGGAAGACCAGGGAAACTGGTTGGGCTGGCTTTGCGCAAGCGAAAAGGAAGGAGAGGCGATGAGGCTAAGTGCAAAGGCTAAATGCACCAGCCTGAGGAGAAGCTTTGGAATCATCCAAGACTTGGAACCAACCACCTGGGCGGTGGAGTTGGTTTTCTTTTACTATTACAGCTGCTCCCGCTTTCTACAGAAGGGCATCGTGGCTGGCAGTCGCTTTGTGTGCGTCCAGGCGATAGTCTTTTCTTTTCTCTTGCCCTTCAACGAGTGCCTATACTATTGCTTCGGTATGGAAAGTATTGTGCCGAGGTAACGATATGGCCTAGGTTGCCATCCGGTCGATCGATTCACCGTAGGTTGGTTGCCGTGTCGTGCTCGTGGGTGCTTTTTGTCCTGGTCGAACTAACCTATCACGGAGTCATGAAGGGAGCAAATTGAGCGCCTGTCGCTGCAAGACCCCTCTTTGTCCAATGATGAGAATGTAAAATCGGCCGTTTCATCGCTAGCGCACGGAGCTTAGGTAGGCAGAGTGGTAAGCCGGCCATTGCATATAGCGCGGGTTTTCGGGTCGACTTGAAGTGGTTCTCGAGTCGAGGTCCAGTTCGTTCCTTCGAGTTGTGGCTAGTTCGTCGTGGTAAGGGTCAATTGGCTCGGCAAAGGGAAGAGAAGATCATTGACGCCAGTTCGGCCTAGGTAGCGACCTTGGGAAATCTATGATAACCTGTAGTGAAGCGTGATCGGTGACTGGTTCGCGAGCGACAGACAACGGCATCACGGTCGCGTCGACCAGAACTGTTCGATCCAGCTAAAGAGTGTCTGTCGAATTAGGCAGGCGGTGAAGCGCGGAAGCGCAAAATGTTGTGATCAAATGAGCATTGGTTGCGGGGCCGCCTTTGTTCCTGAAGGGCCCACCAAATACAGTATTAGATGCTGGAGGTTGGAACAAGCTCTATTTAGGAAAAGCCACGCTAGATGAGGACAAACACGAGCTGCGTGCGCGTCTGGTCCGAGCAGAATAGTGAAATAAGTATTATTCAAGGTTCCATGGTATTGGGGACAGGCGCTTAGTTAATCTGGCTCGTGAATACAATCCTGCTGCTCCATTGATAGCATGGCGCAGATCGTTCGTCCTTTCTTTTTAGCTGGCGCAGAGCTGTGCCGAGATTGAGCCGGCACATTCTAGTGTGCCGCACGTGGCCAAGACGTTCGAATTCGTTGTCTCCAGTCGGTAGGTTTTCGTTTTATGGTGGACCAGGATGGATTGGTTACTTGTCTTTGGCGGCGCAAATGCCCCTAATACACTCTACCTACTTCGTAAAGTTAGCAACTTCATTGCCAAGAGAAATTCAACCCTCGCGTAGTAAATGAGAATACAGTCAAGCAGCACAT